TGGGCATTGTTGTGGTGGGCGCCTGTAGTCCCAGCTACTTGGGAGGCTGAGGCAAGAGAATCACCTAAGCCTAGGAGTTGGAGGTTGCTGTGACCTGTGACGCCACGGCCCTCTATGAGGGCGATAATGTGATACTCTGTCTCTTAAAAAAAAAAAGTGGCAATTAAAAGGAATATATATGAATATGAAATCCCATATATGATGTAAGAAGAAAAAATAATGGCTAGAGAAATTATATGAAAACCTTCAGCCCAAATATATGTAAAGTAATAATAGACTCACTTTTATTTTAATTGTATTGTTTTGGAGACAGAGTCTCATTTTGTTGCCCTTGGTAGAGTGTCGTGGTGCCATAGCTCACAGTAACTTCAAACTCTTGGGCTTAAGTGATACTCCTGCCTCAGCCTCCCAAGTAGCTGGGAGTACAGGAGCCTGCCACAATGCCTGGCTATTTTTAGAGATAGGGTCTCTGCTCCTGCTCAGGCTGGTCTCGAACTCCTGATCTCAAGCAGTCCATCTACCTCGGCCTCCCAGAATGCTAGGATTACAGGTGTACCCTGTCTTACAGACTCTTTTTAAATTAATATTCTGTCATACTGGAAAAATAATGTTTAAGAGAATATAAAAGAAGTATAAAAGTACATAAAGATAGGATGTTAAATTGAAGGTTTAACATTTGAACTCTTTCCTAGTTCTTCTTGGTTTAAAAATTTGACTAGAGAATATCCTTTAGGTTTAAATAGGAATGTGTATTTAAAGTTAGTATGGATTATGGAAATTTAATTAATTTTATGTTTTGAGGGAATTAAAATAAATTGAATTAATCTCTTCATCAGTCTCCCTCACTTCATGATCACTAATGTTTACCATCATCTTGACCTTTTAATTCATGAGGTTTTTTTTTTCCTTTCTTCTGAGACAGAGTCTTATTCAAATGTCACCCTGGGTAGAGTACTGTGGCATCATAGCTCTCCCTTACACCAACCTCAAACTCTGGGGTTCAAGCAGTCCTTTTGCTTCATCCTCTTGAATAGCTGGGACTACAGGTGCCCACCCACCATGCCGCCTGGATAGTTTCTATATTTTTTAGTAAAGACAGGGTCTTGTTCTTGCTCAGGCTGGTCTTAAGCAATCCACCTGCCTTGGCCTAACACATTGCCAGGATTACGGGGTAAGCTACCACATCTGACACTCCTGGAACTTTATATTCAACAAAGTATCATATCCTTCCCCTATTATGGGAAGAATTAAAACCTGGATTGGCAGCTTTTAATTTTGTGGCCTTTACTGAATTAACCTAATTAAATTTAATTTTTTAACCTCCCAGCTGGTTTTCTTGCCTCCAGATAAGATGGATAATGAGAACCACATCACATATAGGCAAAGGAATTAAGTAAAAGACATTTTTGAAAGGTTAATTTTGTGACTGTGTGTAAGGTAGACGAGAGCCTGAACTCCCCAGCCAACTAGGGCCTCTACCTAGTATCACCATGTTCTCTTACCAGAATTTCAACTTCCATCTAAATTGCCCTCTCTGCTCCAAATATGCCAATCTACTTCTTGTCACCTATACACTATTTACCTTCAACTTCATATATTTGAATAGGATCTTTATTGAACTTTAGATGTTCCTCTGTCTTCATCTGTTCTTATTTCTACCCTTGTAGACCTGTCTTACAAACACTTCACCTCAGAGATCTTTTCCAACTATTATTTTTCTCTGTAATTAGCCCCTTACAGTTTATTTTATTCTTTGTTATTTTGTGCGTGTTGGTGGGATGCTTTGTAAGGATTTTGTCTCCTGTGCTGGATTGGGAGTTCTTTGGAAACAGGAACCATGCTACTTTTTTCTTTTTTATTCCATAAAATAGATCCACTGTGTGCTTGATAAGGTACAGAGCCCAAAATGCACTCATTAGGTGCTGATAATAAGCTTTAGAGTGGGATATGAAGACATTCTGCATCCAAACAAAGATGTGACATAGAGCAGTTAAGTACTAGATTGTTGCTTCACTAGGAGGACCCAGTGTGGTGGTGGCCCTTTTGTTAAAAAGGAAACTGAATAGAACATGTGAGAGTTCACTAGATCCTGAAGTGAAATACTGACAGTAGCTTTGGAAAAGAAAGGTTGCTGTTGAGTTCAAGGTCAGCTTTGAGTTGTAGGATACTTGTATGCATAAAATAGTTATCTTTTATCTTCAGTGTAAACAGTAATATTAGTGGTAGAATCAAAGTTCAGAGCTCAAGTCCTAGCTGTAGTATCTGTATGGGGAAGCTGTGTGGTTTGCAATTCTAGGCTAGCTCCAGGGAAATAAAGAGCTCTGGAAGAGTTTTCTACTTATTAGGAGATGGAACGAACATTGAACCTCACTCAGAATATGTTCTGTCTTAAGTCTTGTGTTTCTACTAAGATACAAAAAGAAATAACTATTCTGAGAGCTAATCTGAAGGGGACTGAAATTGCAATGGAGCTCTCCCATACTTAGTTGCAGCAGTTTTCCAGAGGTTTCCTGCAGGGAAACGTAGTTCCTTAATGATATTTGTCATAAGTATTGATGAGATATTTTTCCTTCTCTAGACAACACTACAAACTGATGAAGTTAAAAATGTGCCTTGTGGAACAAGGTAAGCTTTGTCCTTGATTACCAGCCTCCCTTTATTTCATACAAAGTTTCTGCTCCTAAAGCTATGATCACATAGACATTTCTCAAGTAGACAAGATAATACCCAAGGAGATTTCTTATCTGAGTATTATGTAAGCAAAGGCCTGTCTCCAAATACCAGCTTTCCATCTTGGTGTGTTATTGAAAAAAACTTTTGTTTATCAGCACTGCCATATCTGCTTTACTTTTTTTTTTTTTTTTGAGACAGAGTCTCATTTTGTCACCCTCGAGAGAGTGCCATGGTGTCATAGCTTACATCAACCTCAAACTCTTGGGCTCAAATGATCCTCTTGCCTTAGGCTCTTAAGAAGCTGGGACTATAGGCACCTGCCACAATGCTCAGCTATTTTTTTTTAGAGATGGAGTCTCACTGTTGCTCAGGAAATCCACCTGCCTTGACCTCCCAGAGTGCTAGGATTACAGGCATGAGCCACTATGCCCGGCCTGCTTTACTGTTTTTTTAAGATTTTATTTTATTTTATTTTATTTTAGACAGAGCCTCAAGCTGTCCCCCTGGGTAGAATACCGTGGCATCACAGCTCACAGCAACCTCCAACTCCTAGGCTCAAGCGAGTCTCCTGCCTTGGCCTCCCAAGTAGCTGGGACCACAGGCGCTCGCCCCAATGCTTGGTTTTTTTTGGTTGCTAGCCATCATTGTTGTTTGGCAGGCCCAGGCGGGTTTGAAACCGCCACCTTAGGTGTATGTGGCTGGCGCCTTAGCTGCTTGAGCCACAGGCACCGAGCCAATAGATTTTATTTTTTACCACAGTTTTAGGTTCATAGGAAAACTATGAAAATACAGAAAGTTCCCACATATCTCTTGCCCCCACACATTACTTAATTGGATTTTCTAAGCTTACTAACCCCATTTGTAAAAAATCAAGAGTTTTACCTTACAAAGTTTTAAGGATTAGAATTAGTGTTTATGAAGCACATAACCAACCACTTAGACCAGAGTTGGTGCTCAGTGAAACATAGTTTAAAATTAAATCATTCCACCTTTTTCTCATCTTTAGTATTAAATGCCATCTGATTTAGAGATCTGATTCAGTAGGTCTGGAATGAGAATTTGCATTTCTTTCTTTCTTTCTTTCTTTTTTTTTTTTTTTTTGAGACAGAGTCTCACTTTGTTGCCCTTGGTGGAGTGCTATGGTGTCATAGCTCACAGCAACCTCAAACTCTGGGGCTCAAGCAATTCTCTTGCTTCAGTCTCCCAAGTAGCTGGGACAATAGGCACCTGCCACAACACCCAGCTATTTTTAGAGATGAGGTCTCACACTGTCTCAGGCTTGTCTTGAATCTGTGAGTCCAGGCTATCCACCTGCCTTGGCCTCCCAGAGTGCTATAATTACAGGCATGAGCCATTACACCCCAGCCAAGAATTTGCATTTCTAACAAGTTCCTGGGTGATGCTGATGGTGCTAGTCTAAAGACCTTACTTTGAGAATTGTTGCCCTGCAGAGGTTTAGAGCAGGGGTCCTCAAACGTTTTAAACAGGGAGCCAGTTCATTGTCCCTCAGACTGTTGGAGGGCCGGACTGCAGGCCTGGGATGAGTCAGCTGCTAAACAGGACAGCCAGCAGTGGCAAAAACACCCGGCAGGCCAGATAAATGTCCTCGGTGGGCCGTAGTTTGAGGACCCCTGGTTTAGAGAAAGAAAGGCAGGCAAGGCCCAAATTAGAGTATAATCACTACATTGAATTGTTTTAAAAGAAGAATGTGAAAATTCAAAGTATTTTTTTAGTTACCTATTTTAAGTAACCCAAAATATTACTATTATATTAAACAAAAAGTATACAAAAGAGACTTTGACATCTATAGAGAGACAGAAGGACTTTTTAAAAGGGAGCAAATTCTCTCTGTGTTAGAAGTTAATATATTTGATTATCAGGTTTTCCCTAGGTCTGTAACTCTTTTATGGATTCCCTTTAGTAGTTTACACTTTTTTTCATTTCTTTTTTTTTTAGCGGTGGAGTCATGATCTATATTGACCGAATAGAAGTAGTTAATATGTTGGCACCTTATGCAGGTATGTTATCCATCTGTTCTTTTGTTTTTATAGTTATATCCAGAGTATTTAAAACTGACAGATTCTCTGAGGAATAGAAAGATGCTTTTTGTTTTATGGCCTCATTGGTTACTGCTAAAGGAATAATCACTGGAATATTTTCCATTTCTAGGGAACAGAGGCAGAAATAAGTCAGAAGTCTGGACAGGGTTGATTTTCTGCAACTCTATGAGTTACTCTTTTTTTGCTGAGACAGAGTCTCATTCTGTCACCCTTGGTAGTGTGCTGTGGCATCATAGCTCACAGCAGCCTCAAACTCTGGCTCAAACGATTCTCTTCCTCGGCCTCCCAAGTAGCTGGGACTACAGGTGTGCTCCCCCGCCCCATAATGCTGGCTATGGCTATTTTTAGAGATAGTGTCTCTAACCGGTGAGCTCAGGCAATCCACCCACCTCAGCCTTCCAGAATGCTAGTATTACAGGTATGAGCCACCGAGCCCAGCCTCTGAATTACTCTTTGAGCTTAGTGTTTCTAAGGGCAAGATGCCATTGATTATTTATAGAACAGGAAAACATTTTATCTAGTCAAGGTGAGAGATAATTACCTTGTGTGCTAAAAAATTTGTAACTGATCAATTCCTTGGGCCACATTGGTTTGCCATCATAGAGAAATCTTTTCTAGTTAGGATTTGCTATAACCACAAAGCAATGTAAAAGTCTTCAGTGTGGGGAAAGCATGAAAATCCACATTGATGGGTTTTCAAATCAAAAACTTAATTAGAAGCTCTGAAGAAAGATACGCAGTTTTATCTTTATCCTTGTTAATAAAATTGGCATGTCTAATATATAAAGATACTATGTTGCGCTGGGTGTGGTGGTTCATGCCTGTAATCCTAGTACTCTGGGAGACCGAGGCAGGTGGATTGCTTGAGCTCACGAGTTCAAGACCAGCCTGAGCAAAAGCGAGATCCGTCTCTACTAAAAATAGAAAAAAGGAGGCAAGAGTATTGCTTGAGCCCAAGAGTTGGAGGTTTCTGTGAGCTATGATGCTACGGCACTCTACCCAGAGTGACAGCTGGAGACTCTTATCTCAAAAGAAAAAAAATATACTATGTTGGATGAGAACAATTTAAAAAGATGAAGTTGTAGCCTTTGCCCTCAGGGGGTTTTGTTGTATTGAGAAGATAAAAATGATATCTAAAAAAGGTAGATTGAAATACAAGATCATGCTAAAATTTCTCATCACTGGTACAGCCACAAATAGTGAAAAGATTTCAGAGCAGAGAGCAGGTATACTACTGGCATATGGATTTGGATCATATTTTTCAAAGATTAACTATTTTCCTTATCCTTTTTTTCTATCTCCTTTCCTTGGTCGTAAATCATTGGAAGAATTGTGACTGAAAGCAGAAGAAGGGAAAAGTTTGATTCTGTAGCCCGAGATAAATAAGAAACTATTAGATCACCAGCTCATTTGGGAAGTGATCAAGTAAATGAGTTAGTCTGCAGATTTTTTGTTTGTTTTTGAGACAGAGTCTCATTCTGTTGTCCTAGGTAGAGTACAGTGACATCATAGCTCATAGCAAACTCCTAGGCTCAAGAGATTTCTTACTTCAGCTTCCTAAGTACCTAGGACTATAGGTACCCACCACAATGGTTGGCTTAATTTTTTTGTATTTTTAGTAGAGATAGGGTCTTGCTCTTGCTCAGGCTGGTCTGGAACTCCTGAGCTAAAGTAATCATTGAGCAAGAATTTACTGATGGCCTGTCCATTGCTTGTGATCTGGAATACAGTTGCATCTAACATTTCATTATGGGAAGGCCAAGGAACAAGTCCTTGGATCTGAAGACAGAAATAGGAATAGAATAGAACACAGGTTTTTGACCTGGTCTAGTATATATATCTTTGGGGACATTTATAAAATTCTCTGGTTGTTAGTTTTTAGTTTCTTACTATGCTTAATCAGGAGGATTCAGTGCTAATCTCTGCAAATTGCCTGATACAAAGTCTAGCCCAGTAAACGTTAGCCTGGTGACTTTTTTATAGCCTTTAAAAATTGCCTTTTTAACTCAGTAACTCACTTCTGGGGCAAGCACTCTGGGAGGCTGAGACACGTGGAACCCTTCAGCTCAGGAGTTAATTCGAGAGCAACATGAGCAAGAAGGAGAGACCCTGTTTCTACTAAAAATAGAAAAACTAGTCTGATGTAATGGAGGACACTTACAGGCTCAGCTACAGGGGAGGATGAGACAAGGGGATCACCTGAGCCCAAGAATTTAAGGTCTCTGTGAGCTATGACTCTTTGACACTCTGAGGGTGATGAAATAAGACTCTGTCTCAAAAAAAAAAAAAAAAGTCTTTTGCAGTTGCTTCTTTTATTCCCACTGTTTCTTAATTAGTTTAATCCCACTATTAATCTTTTTGCTCAGTTTTTGCTTTTCCTTTCCCTGCCTTTGATCTCTGTGCCTCTCAATTCACCTTTACATTGTTGCCAAAGTACAAATCTGACTGCCTTGCTGTTGCTTGAAAACTTTGCCAGTTCCTTATTACTTCAAAAAAATGTATACTCTCCTTAGTATGGATTTCAGAGTTTGCTTGTTGATATTGCAGATGCAAGGATATCTGGAATATTGAGCACAAGGAGGGCATCAATATTTGTGTCTGTGTGTTATGTTTTTGTTATTTTGTTGACATTTTTCCTCATGTGTAAGATACACTCTTTTGCCCTGGCTGAATTTGAAGATGCCTGAGTCATTGCTGGTTAAAACAAACATGGGTTGGTCTCTCCTTCAGTGTTTGATATCGTGAGGAACTACACTGCAGATTATGACAAGACCTTAATCTTCAATAAAATCCACCATGAGCTGAACCAGTTTTGTAGTGCCCATACACTTCAAGAAGTTTACATAGAATTGTTTGGTAAGTGTCTTTCTCGTTTTAAATATGTAAGTAGCCCACTGAAAATCTCATTTGGCTCATTTATTGATGCTTAATAAATCTTAAACTATTGGAGCATTTCTTTTGAATTTGTAATAGGACAGTCTTTAAAATATATTTTTTTTTTATCTTATGTTGAAAAAATTTTACGTAACTTGGTAGAGATTGGAAAAACTATTACTGTATTTTGTTTTTACTGTGGTAATTTAACTGAAAATTAGCTTTGTTGCTATTTTAACATATAACTTCAGGAAATTTTTTTAAAAGTCTATGTCTTGAGGCTCCCTGAGACTTACCTTCATGCTTAATGATTTGGTAGGAGAGCTAATAGGATTCAGTATATAGTTGTATTCACAGCTAAGATTTATTACAATCAAAGAATTCAGAGTAAAATCAGCAAAAGGAAAAGGCACGTTGGCAAAGTCCAGCAGAAATGAGTCACGGGCTCCCAAAAGTCTAAGAGTTCTTCTCACAGAATCACACAAAATGTACTTAATTCCCCCAGTGACAAGTTGTGACAATACATGTGAAATGTTGTCTACCAGGGAGGCTCATTTGAGACTTAGTGCCCAGGGTTGTTATTGAGGGCTGTCATGTAAGCACCCTCTGCCTACCATGTACCAAAATTACCAACTCCAGAAGGAAAGTAGGTGTTCAGCATAAACCATATTATTTGTATAAACAGTTCAGGCATAGTAAGCCAATTCTATCAGTTCTGTAGATGACAGAAACTCTGCAAATACAAATTCTCAGGTGCCAGGCAAGGGCCAGTTTGCAACCAAGCCTTTCTAAGGATCGTGGTCTCAAGCCTGCTATGTTAACTCCCTTCTGCCCAAGTTACTTTTCATTTGTGATAGTGAAAGTTCTGACCAGGGAATGTGTTGTTGCTTTTGGTTGGTTGCTTCTTCCTAAAAATTTTTGGTGAATTTCTTATATGGCAGCACAGGAATGGTTAATCCCTTTAAAATCTGCCAGTGGATTCCTGTTTGACAGTTGACAATCACTGCAGTGGCATATGAGGAAACCAGTTGGTCCTGCTTTGTCACATTACCAGTCATTTTAATAACGGTGAAAGTACCCTTACTCTTCTGTGAGCCTTGTGGGTAGAAAATTCACATTTTATAAAGCAAGTGAGGAGACAACATCTTTACTATCCATTCTGGTGTGCTTCAAAGACTTTTAGATGAACTTTTTCTCTTTTTTATTGTTCTTTTTCTCTTTTTAAATCCAAAATAATATGCTGAGGGCCACATAAATCAAGTTTAGTTATTGGAGAATTTGTATAAAGATTGAATAAAATAGGAATTTACCTCTTTATGAGAATCAAGATATATTAAGTATATTCAATAAATAAGTTTATCCAAAGTTAAATAATAAGTTTAAAACTTGTTTTATTGAATAAACTTTGGCTGCCTATCATCTTCCTTCCTTAATTTATTAGATAATTCTTTACAAAGACCCATATAAAAGGTGGGGGGAACAGTTTATACTCTGTAAAAGAATAGTAATATAGAAACTTTAATAATGATTAATTTGTTTCAATATTAAAACAATGTAAAAAAAATTGAGAATCATGACAGGTGTTGTTCTTGGCTTAAAAAACAGATCAAATAGATGAAAACTTGAAACAGGCTCTGCAGAAAGACCTAAACATCATGGCTCCAGGTCTCACTATACAGGTAAGTCTATTTTCTGGGGAGGTTCTCTAGGAATTTTTTGAGCTTTGAGTTTAATCCTTTCATCAGGTTGTTTATGCAGCAATTATTAATAAAAGTGCTATGGTGATTTCTAGAATACTTTTCTCAACTCGACTTTAGGTCTCAGCCGAAATAAAGTATTCATATAGTCCACCATGGGTGGCATTGGGAACTCTTTTTTTTTTTTTTTTTTGAGACAGAGCCTCAAGCTGTCCCCCTGGGTAGAGTGCCGTGGCATTACAGCTCACAGCAACCTCTAACTCCTGGGCTTAAGCGAGTCTCCTGCCTCCGCCTCCCAAGTAGCTGGGACTACAGGCACCCGCCACAACGCCTGGCTATTTTTTGGTTGCAGCCGTGGTTGTTTGGCGGGTCCTGGCTGGGGATTCAAACCCGCCACCTTAGGTGTATGTGGCTGGAGGGCATTGGGAACTCTTCAAGGGAAAGATAAGCTAAGTCTCTTAGAAGTAAATAAAATTCTTATGTTTCCCATTTATGAGGCATTATTAAGATACAGTAATGGTTACAAATCAGTATAAGAATAATTCTTGCCCTCAGTAAAATTACAAAAAAAGGAGTTTAAGATTTGAATAATAATTCTACACAAAATAGATGTTATAAAATACTAATTTGGATGATTATTACTGTAAGAGTAAGAACTTTTGAAGAGAAGATGCCTGTGTGCCTAGTGAAGGACTTTGAGTTGAGATTTTAGGTAGGTTTGGAAAATTAATTGGATTTATATGGGTGAGAGGAATGAGAAAGGTATTTCAAGTGCATGGGATGGCCTGAATAAAAGCAAAGTAGCAGATGAATTTAATGGTGGTAGCAGCATTGGTAGATAGAATGGCAAGAGGTTGGTTATACCCCTGCTTTTCTGGTCACTGTGTTTTCAGATCATGTGTTATAAAATCAGTTTTAGTGAGTCTTCACCAACTTTTTTTTTTTTTTTTTTTTTTTTAGAGACAGAGTCTCACTCTGACGCCCTCGGTACCATGGTGTCACAGCTCACAGCAACCTCCAGCTCCTGGACTCAGGCGATTCTCTTGCCTCAGTCTCCCGAGTAGCTGGGACTACAGGCACCTAACACAACGCCCAGCTACTTTTTGTTGCAGTTTGGCCAGGGCCCTGTTCGAACCTGCCACCCTCGTTATATGGGCCAGTGCCCTACTCACTGAGCCACAAGCGCAGCCTTGACCAACATTTTAATCAAATTGGAAAAGTATAGGAAAAGAGATGGCATAGGCTGGGTGCAATGGCTCACACCTGTAATCCTAGCACTCTGGGAAGCTGAGGCAGGTGGATTGCCTGAGCTTATGAGTTTGAGACCAATCCAAGCAAGAGTGAGACCCTGGCTCTAAAAAAAAAAACCTACTCATTGTGGCAGATGCCTGTAGTCCCAGCTACTCAGGAGGCTGAGGCAAGAAGTTTGAGGTTGCTGGGTACTATGATGCCATGTCACTCCACTGAGGGTGACAACAAAGTAAGACTCTGTCTCAAAGAAAAAAGAAATAGCACATAGTAGGTTTAAGTATTCAGTGAAACTTGTGTTTGTTTTACCTGAATATGTATGTGGCATTGGTGTTTATATTGGGTGTCAATGCAAAATGTATTTCTTAACTCTGTTTGTGGTCAAGAACACTTAAAAACCTCGATTCTGGATCTGGTAAGAATTGGTAATGTGGCCTCACTAGTGTCCTTTCTTAGTGGCTCTAAGACAGTGGTTCTCAACCTGTGGGTCACAATCCACAGGAACTATATTAAAGGGTCATGGCATTAGGAAGGTTGAGAACCACTGCTCTAAGAGATCATTTGGTTGTTGGGATAAATGTTACTGCAACTAAAAATAAAGCTTTCTTAGAGGTCGCCTGTGTCTCAATTCTTTTTGCTCAAGGGCACTGCCAGTGAGAGTGTGCATTTATTGTAAGTGATCATTTGTGTGTGTGTGTATAAGAGACTGGAAAGATGGATGCGGTTTTTCCTATGGCCTCATTCATACTCTGCCATTATCTCAGAGAGATGCCTGAGGGTGAACCATGAGAGTTAAGGGATTGTTTGAAATGACCAAAGGTAACTTTGTAAAATCTTATCGGTTGTCCAGTCATTTGTAGCTGGAGTAGCTTTTTAATTTTAAAGATATTGAATACGAAGGTCAGATATTCTTGGATTCTGCACAGGTTGTTCCTCAGAGATCTAGCTCATTCCTTCTAACAGTTGCCTACATTTCTTATATCATTAGCCATTTCATTGTTCCCAGTTTTAGCTATTAAATAATAGTGTAATGAACATTAATGACAAATTGTCCTACAAACTGGTTGTACAAATCTATATTCTTTTTTTTTTATTAAATCATAAACACATTAATGCATTTATGGGGTACAATGTTCTGATTTCATATAGATTTAGGAATGCTTACTTCCCACTGGTTAACATATAGCTCATCTCATTTACTTATTTATTGTGTTAAGACATTTATACTTTATACTAATAGATCCAACATGTACGGTTGCATAATGCACCATTGGTGTGGTCCCACCATTTACCCTCCCTCATTCTGACCTCCCCCCTTCCCTTCCATCTCCTCTTCTCCCTCCTTCATCTTGGGCCATAGTTGTGATCTATTCTTCATATGAAAGTGTGAGTGATTATAAATTGGTTTCATAATAGTACTGAGTACACGAGATATTTTTTCTTCCATTCTTGAGATACTTTACTAAGAAGGATACGTTCCAGCTCCAAATGTAAAAGAGGTGAAGTCTCCGTCTTTTTTAAGGCTGCATAATATTCCATGGTATACATATACCACAATTTATTAATCCATTCATGAGTCAGTGGGCACTTGGGCTTCTTCCATGACTTGGCTATTATGAATTGAGCTGCAATGAACAGTCTGGTGCAAATATCTTTGTTATAAAGTGATTTTTGGTCTTTTGGATATATACCTAATAGAGGAATTGCAGGTCAAATGGCAGGTCTACTTTTAGATCCCTGAGTAGTCTCCATATTTCTTTCCAAAAGGGATATATTAGCTTGCACTCCCACCAGCAGTGCAGAAGTGTTTGTTCCTTTTTCTCCACATCCATGCCAACATCTGTAGTTGTGGGATTTTGTTATGTGAGCCAGTCTTATGGGAGTTAGATGATATCTCAAAGTTGTTTTGATTTGCATTTCTCTGTTGATTAAAGATGATGAGCATTTTTTTCATGTATCTGTAGGCCACACGCCTATCTTCTTCAGAGAAGCTTCTGTTAAGGCCCTTCCCACAAAGAAATGGGATTACTTATTCTTTTCTTAATTATGTTCTTACCAGCAGTATATGCAGGTACTTGTGTCCCCATAAACTCACCAGGGTTGGAAGCAGACATGCTAATTTTTGCCATATTGGTAGGTGTGAAGTTATATCTCTCTTTGGTTTGCATTTCCTGGTTATTAATGAGGTTGGGCATTTTTTTTTTTTTTTTTTGGAGACAGTCTCACTCTGTTGCCCTGCGTAGAATGCCTTGGCATCATAGCTCACGGAAACCTCAAACTGATGGGCTAAAGTGATCCTCTTGCCTCAGCTTCCCTAGTAGCTGGGACTACAGGCACCTGCCATGACACCCAGCTATTTTTTCTGTTTTTAGTAGAGATGGAATCTCACTCTTGGTCAGGTTGGTCTTGAACTCTGGAGCTCAGGCAATCTACCTGCCTCAGCCTCCCAGAGTGGTAGGGTTACAGGCTTGAGCTACCACACCCTACCCAATTGAGCATCTTTTGACATTTTTATTGGTCATTTAGACTTTCTTCTGTCAATTGTCTATTCATATCCTTTGCCCATTTTTCTGCTGGATTGTTTTATTCTTCTTACTGATTTGTAGTAGTTCTGGATATATTTTTCTATCATTTCAAATTTTTTACTGTTATACGAAGTATGCATGTTACAATGACCACTTTTATACATATGTACTATGCATCTTTTAAAATCCTTGCCTTAGGATAAATTTTTTAAAGTAGAATTGATGGATCAATGTATATACTCTGGGGATTTTTTAGTATATACTACTAAATTGCCTTTCAGAAAAATTTTAGTAGCCTCCCACCATCTCATAAGCGATATTGGTGAGCTATAGTTCCTGCACATTTGACTATATAATTGTACCCAAATGATTAGCACATGCAAGCAAGGTCTCTCTTCCTGTCTTATCCTTTTAGAGAAAATTTATGTGGTATTTTATATTAATTATTAAGGTCAAGTGCCCTCGGCTCGGTGCCTGTAGCTCAAGTGGCTAAGGTGCCAACCACATACACCAGAGCTGGTGGGGTTTAAATCCAGCCCGGGCCTGCCAAACAACTATAACCAAAAAAAAAAAAAAAAAAAGCTGAGTGTTGTGGTAGGCACCTGTAGTCCCAGCTACTTAGGAGACTGAGGCAACAGAATCGCTTAAACCTAGGAGTTGGAGGTTTCTGTGAGCTATGATGCTATAGAACTCTATACAGGATGACAGCTTGAGGCTCTGTCTCAAAAAAAGAAAAAAAAGGTCAAGGGTCCTAGGATATTTAATTGGCAATTTCATTTTTGACTTGTTTGTTGGTTTTGCTCACTTTTTTAGTTGTTTATGGCTTTTCTAACCTATTTAAATAAACTTTTTTATATGTCATTACATCTCTTTCTAAAATGCATAGGAAACATTTTCTTTCAATTTTTTCTTTTTTTTTTTTTTTTTGAGACAGAGCCTCAAGCTGTTGCCCTGGGTAGAGTGCCGTAGCATCACAGCAACCTCCAACTCGTGGGCTCAAGCGAGTCTCCTGCCTCAGCATCCCAAGTAGCTGGGACCATAGGCGCCCGCCACAACGCGTGGCTATTTTTTGGTTGCAGCCATCGTTGTTTGGCGGGCCTGGGCTGGATTTGTACCCGCCACCTTAGGTGTATGTGGCTGGTGCCTTAGTCAATTTTTTTCTTTGCCATTTAACTTTGTCTTTTCCTCCTGTCAATTTTGAAGTTTTATACTTTCACATAGTAATTTAAGTGGTATTTTCTTTATGGTATGTTGCTGAGCTATATGTTTCAAGATCCTTTTACTACTTTAGGAGTATAGAAATATAATCAGAAATTAATTTTTCTCTGCTTTTACAATTGTTGTCTTAGATTTAAATTACTATTTTTATCTGAAACAATTTTGTTGTCAGTTGAGAGGTCGGACTTTAACTCCTTCTCCCCTGTCCCAAATTGGTTAGCAATGGTAATTACTGAATAATTTCTCCCTCCATCTTCCTCCTCCTTTGAAATGGTATTTGTATTGTATATTCAGTTATATTATTATTGTTGTGAATTTTGTCTATTCCATTGATATTTCTACTCTTTCATGATTTGTTGAGCCCTTGAGCTTCTCTCATCAAATCTATTTCTCTCCTGTTTTTTCCTTTATGTCAGAAAACAGCAGCACTTTCCCTCCCAGACCAATCTAGAATGGGGGGGAGGGGACATCTTTGACAATTCCTTCGCCCTCAACATCTAATCAGTCCACTGTCCTGCTAATTCCATCACCAAAATCCATGTAAAACCATCTATGCCTCCATATTCACTGCGTCAAGACAAGGACATCTCCTGTCTACCCTCTGTCTTCTTTCCTACTTTCACTTTTACCCTGTCTCCTTCATTTCTGCATAGCAGCAAGAAGGATCATTTGAATTTATTTTTTGTGTGTTTTTATTAGAAGTTACCAAATGAAAAAATGGAGTGTTGTAAATATAGAGTTCTTAAAGTGGCAGACAAGATCTCCATTGTTTTAGTTGTTTTGTCTTATTTTATAAAATAAAATAATCTGTTTTTCAGTCTAATTTTTTTTTGAAACAGTCTAACTTTGTCGCCCTTTTCAGAGTGCTGTGGTGTCATAGCTCACAGCAACCTCAAACTCTTGGGCTCAAGCAGTCCTCCTGCCTCAGCCTACTGAGTAACTGGGACTACTTGGCTAAATTTTTTTTTTTTTTTTTTTTAGAAGCAGTGTCACTTTGTCCCCTTGGTAGAGTGCCGTGGTGTCCCAGCTCATAGCAACCTCTAGCTCCTGGGCTTAGGCGATTCTCTTGCCTCAGCCTCCCACAACACCTGGATATTTTTTGTTGTCATTGCAGTTTGGCCGGCGCTGGGTTTGAACCCGCCACCCTTGGTACTCACTGAGTCACAGGCACTGCCTGAGCCCAACTATTTTTTAGAGATGGAGTCTCACTCTTGCTCAGGCTGGTCCCAAACTCCTGAGCTCAGTTAATCCACCCACCTTGGCCTCCCAGAGTACTAGGATTACAGGTGTGAGCCACCACACCCAGCCCATACTTGGCTAATTTTTAAATTTTTTGTAGAGACATGGGCTTGCTGTTGCTCAGGCTGGTCTCAAACTTCTGGCCTCAAACAATCCTCCCACCTCATCTTCCCAAAGTGCTAGTATTACAGATAGGAGCCACTATGCTCTACCAACCTTTTTTTTAAAACCTTAAACTAAAACTTTAAAGACCTTACTACTTAAAAGTTTAGCCAGTTTTCAGAGGGAATTAAATTTTTTTTCAGATTAGCATATTATTTTGTGTGTGTTTGTGATGTGGGGGGGTGGGGGTTATAGGATGTTTAATAAAACAAAAGTTTTGAGAGAGATCATGTCCTTGATGTAGAAAAGTCCACCTTCAAAAAGCAGCACTTTCTAAGTAGATAATTATTTCAAAATACAGTATGATTAGAGAAACAAAGTATCTAGTTATTAAACAATATCTACAAAGATAGGTAGACAATTCGAAGATTCCAGGAAGAAACAACATAAGCCAGTGATTGGTATTTTTTTTCCTTCAGCCACTGGGCTATTTATTTATAGTAAGTAGTAAATGATTTTAGATTTAGGAAGGGCTAATTAACTTACTGTACACTGTGCATTGTATCAAATGGTATATATTGACCTGGGTTTTTGCTTTTGACTAATTGTTTCTGAATTTACAATTTCAATCTTGGAACTTTGCCTGCCTTCTGTATTTTTGTTTGTTTGTTGGAAGAGCTTTGTAAAACATCTTTTAAGAGAGAACCTTGGCTCGGCGCCTATAGCTCAACCGGCTAAGGCGCCAGCCACGTACACCTAAGGTGGCAGGTTCGAATCCCCAGCCCGGACCTGCCAAACAACAATGACGGCTGCAACCAAAAAATAGGCGTTGTGGCGGGCGCCTGTGGTCCCAGCTACTTGGGAGGCAGAGGCAGGAGACTCGCTTGAGCCCAGGAGTTGGAGGTTGCTGTGAGCTGTAATGCCATAGCACTCTACCCAGGGGGACAGCTTGAGGCTCTGTCTCAAAAAAAAAAAAAGAGAGAACCTTTTCCTTAAGAAAATTGTTTTCTCAATGGATAGAGTGGCTTTCCCTGTAGTCTGGCATTTTAAGGAAGTATGAAGAAACTTATTTTGATGCTTGATGCAATAGCATGAAAAGTACATTTTCTGGTGGGATCCCCACATGCATTAGTAGGGAGCTATATTGTTTTATTCATATCATTTGAGACACTCTTCTGTAGAAGCTTTAGTTTGAAGATTGGTTTTTCAAATATACTTTAGCTTTTTTATTTTTATTTTTTAGGCTGTGCGTGTCACAAAACCCAAAATCCCAGAAGCCATAAGAAGAAATTTTGAGTTGATGTGAGTAATATGCATGGGATCCCAATATTTCTATAATATTTAGGACTATCTGTATATTAATACACTAGTTTAGAAGAAGCGTGATGGATAATACACTCTGGGGTGGAGTATATGTGTATCTTCTATATTCTTATTCTAGCAATAGTACCTATTTTCATGTCTTAATTTTCACTAGACTCTTTATTAGTTTTCTCTTTATATATGGACTTTTGGGGAGCAATTTCAGTGGCTAAAGTTGCAGTTGCTATAAAGCAATTGCTGGAAGCCTAAGGAACTATAGTTTACATTATATGTATAGTACTTTGAATTAAATATTAGTAAAGAGTCCTAGCTGTGAAGGTTGGAGTGCCCATATTTTGTCACTATGTAATAATGGTAAGAATAGACACCTTGTTGATGTAAAGATTGACTTTCCATGGTATGTGATTATGTCTCCATATTTAGAGTTGGCTCTTTATAGTTTGTCTCTGGGAACGCCTTGCTTGAATTGACTGCTGCAGTCTTCTCTTTTATGTGTCCAGGACTGGCTGTGAATGAGAAGTTACTTGTTTAATGTGACTTTAGTTTCTAAGTGTTTTAAAAGGTACCTTATAGGGAAACACTGCGAACTGTGGTATTCACATGACAGGTACTAAAAAAAATGAAACAAGTCTTTAGGAAATTTGGCTGGTATATTAAGTGGGGAAAATATGAGATGCCAGAAAAATTAATTTGCAAAAGTTAAGAATACAGTAGATATGTAAATACACGTGGCCTGAGGAGTAGCAATATTGCTTTATGGGGTGATATGTTTCTGAGTCCTTTTTGTTCTTAAGTCTGTATCTTCTATCATTTAGTGTTTTATTTTTTTCTTTTTTGTTGTAGACTAGGAACTCTTTTAAAACTGTAAAGCCAGGGTAGATCTTTGGTGTGATCCACTTAAGTTTATTAATGGCTCAGAGTGCCTTAGGCTTTAAATATAATTGCTTTTGATGATGGAAAGATGAGTACTTGCCCTCAAATAACTCACAGTCTTCAGTCATTTAATGTCTTTATCAGTGCTGGCAGAAGGGGGACTTTGGGAAGAAACATTTTGGGGATACTGTTGGCATTATTTTTCAGATAATTATAGATCTTTCTTAATTTTATAGACTATTGGAATTTCAGAATTAAGGGCCACCTTGGGATTATCAATTCTAACCTCTCACCTAATAGTAATCTTTTTAAACACCATTTTTGCCATATGATAATCCAGTAGTCAGCATTTATATTACAATTTGAATCCTTGGGACCAAAAGAGTTTTGGATTTTAGAATATTTACGTATCTATATATAAATAGATATCATGAGGATGGGACCCAAGTCTAAACACATGATTCATTTATATTCTATATACACTGTATAGCCTGAAGGTAATTTTATCAACATTTTAAATAATTTTGTGCATGAAACAAAGTTTGTGTTAAGTATTTATATATGGAATTTCCCACTTGTAGCATGTTAGTGCTCAAAAAATTTCAGATTTTTGAGCATTTCAGATTCTGAATCTTCAGATTATGGCCGTCCAACCTATGTTACAAGTTCACATTCTTAGAAAATTCTCCTTATATTAAGCCCCAGTTCACTACCTGATAACTGCTACCTAGTTATATCTTCTGTACAAAATTTAGGGCCACTGCACTTGAGTGTCCACCTGAAGAGGAGGGGGGCTGAAATGTAGCTCCATTCTGCTTGCCAGACTATGCCCCTGAGGGACTGCATCTACCCAGAGGCCAGTGTGTTTTTCTCGTCGGCACACTGGTGCTGTGTGGGCTAATAGGAGGCCTAACAGCAAAGGAAGTATTTATATATTCCCTTCCATATCACAGGCCTCTATGTAATTAATTAGAATGAAAAAATGAGACTAAAATTCAAATGTATTTCATTTTTTCCCGTCTCTGGGTGACTTTGGGAAAATTATTTAATCTTTCAACCTCAGATCCATTATAAACAAAATAAGATAGCAACTCTGCTACCTACCTTAATGGTTCAAAACATTCTTGTTGAAAAACAATTCTCTGACATACTACAGGGTCAGAATTACTGACTTGACTTCACATAAGAAAATCACTTTTAATTTTTGTAATGTTTTACTTCACAGGGAGGCTGAGAAGACAAAACTTCTTATAGCTGCACAGAAACAAAAGGTTGTGGAGAAAGAAGCTGAGACGGAGAGGAAAAAAGCTGTTATAGGTACTTGGATTTCTTTCTGAAATGAATGTCTCTAAGGACATTTGTTCATGAGTTGGTCCTTTCTTTGTCAGTCTCATCTTAGGTATTGATGGGTTTTAAGTAAGATTGCAACACATGTAGTGGAGAATTCTGATAACTCATTCAGATATCCTAAAGCCTTTAAAAGTAGGCGTGAGACCAGTACTTAATGAAGTGCTTTGGCTCTCCATCATCTTGTCAGCTGCCATTATTGTCTTTTTCCAGACAAAGAGAATGGATAGAGGAGGCTTTAGTCTCTGTGGAGTAGGGATTTCATTCATACAGATTAAGAACAGGGAAGCTAGGGCATGGTGGCTCACACCTATCATCCCTGCACTCTGGGAGGCCAAGGCGAGTGGATTGCTTGAGGTCAGGAGTTTGAGAACAGCCTGAGCAAAAGCGAGACCCCTTCTCTAAAAATAGCTGGGCGTTGTGGCAGGACACCTATAGTCCCAGCTACTCGGGAGGCTGAGGCAAGAGGATTGCTTGAGCCCAAGAGTTTGAGGTTGCTATGAGCTATGACACACCCTACACTCCAGGGTACTATATATTAGACTGCCATCTTAGGCCTTCAATTGATGCTAAAAGTTTAAGACATTTTTATTGAATAACTCAAATATACAGAAATGTATAGAATACAGTATAATGCAGGCTTAAGATTTTGCCATGTTTATTCAGATCGTATTTTCTTTTAAGGAAAAGTTTATCTGTTTGAATCCTCCTTTGTACCCTTCACTGGTCTTATTTCTTGACATTTCTTAGAATATAGTTTCAATTCTAAAGTTGAAGCATATCCTTTTCATCCATATTTTTATGATTTACTGTGAATATGTAACAGTTTATAGGATTCTTCTACCTATTTGAAACTATAAAAATCATATCAAATTCTATGTTCTATTTTAAAACTTGCCCTTTTTACTAACATTGTTTGAGTTTTACTCATATTGACACATGTAGATCTAGTTTGTCTTATGTTGTTTTGTTTTAGGCTATCACTTTTGATAGGCTACCACTCTGTCACCCAGGCTTCTGGGTCCAAGCGCCACAACACCTGGATAATTTTTTAAAATTTTAAAAAATCTACCCGAGGCAGGTAGATTGCCTGAGCTCACAGGTTCAAGACCAGCCTGAGCCAGAATGAGATTCTCATCTCTAAAAAATATCCAGGTGTTGTGGCAGGCACCTGTAGTTCCAGCTAAGGAGGCTAAGGCAAGAGGATTGCTTGACCCCAAGAGTTTGAGGTTGCTGTGAGCTAAGACACCACTGCATTCTACAAAGGACGACCAAGTGAGACACTGTCCAAAAGACTCTCTTTTTTTGTAGAGATGAGGTCTTGCTATATTGCGCAGACTAATCTTGAGCTCCTTGCCTCAAGCAATCCTTTTGCCTTGGCCTCCCAGAGTGCTGGGATTACAGGCATGAACTAACACTCCTGGCCAATCTGGTTTATTTTTACCTACTGTGTATTTTGTTCTATGAGTGGACCTCATTTTATTCTGATTTATAAATGAAGATTTACGTAGTTGCTAGTTTTTCCTTATTACAGACACTGCCACAATAATGTTCTTATCCATGTCTCCTTGTGCCACATTTGTAAGAGTTTTCCTAGAGCAGTGTTGTTCAATGTATGATGTAGGTCAGTACCCTGTTGCCAGCTTTTTGTATCTTTGCCCCAATGAGATGAATACAGAATGAATGTTCTAAGTTCTTTTTTTTCTTTCTTTTTTTTTTTTTTTATTAAATCATAGCTGTGTACATCATGTGCAATCATAGCTGTGCAATCATGGGGTACAATGTGCTGGTTTTATATACAATTTGGAATATTTTCATCAAACTGGTTAACATAGCCTTCACAGCATTTTCTTAGTTAATTGTGTTAAACATTTATATTCAACATTTAGTAAATTTCACATGTACCCTTGTAAGATGCACCATAGGTGTGGTCCCACCTCCCTCCGCCCGTTCTAAGTTCTTACAGCATTTTAACACAGCATTTAACATAGTAATATTTTTATTATTTTATATTTCAATCAAGCATACTGACCATGAAAATACAGTAATATTTTTAAACTTTTTCTAAACTGTAATTCATTTTTATTATATTTTACTATATTGTATCCTAACAGATTGAAATACCAAAAAATAGAAAAAGAAAAAGAAAGAAAGAAAGAAAAGGTGCTTTCCCACAGATAGTTTGAGAAGCACTGCTCTAGTGTACATATCTCAAAGTAGAATTACCGGGTCATAACATATTGCCAGATTGCTCTTTAAAGTGATTCTTCCATTTTACTCTCTTCAACAGTGTTTGAGTTCTAATTTTTTTGTTATTGTTGTTTTGAGACAGTCCCAAGCTATTGCCCTGGGTAGAGTGCTGGGGGCATCATAGCTCACAGCAACCTTCAACTCTTGGGCTCAAGCAATCCTCACCTCTTTCTTTTTTTTTTTTTTTTTAAAGAAAAGACAGGGTCTTGCTTTTGCTCAGGCTGGTTTTGAACTTGTGAGCTCAAGCAGTCTACCCACCTCAGCCTCCCAGAGTGCTAGTATTACATGCATGAGCCACCCCACCTGGCCAGTGTTTGAGTTCTAGTTTCAATGCTGGGCATCCTCCTCAACCCTTGGCATTATCCAGCCTAAAAATGTGTATCAGTTCAGTGGTAGACATGGTATCCCATAATTATAATTTGAATTTCCCTGATTATTAGTAAAATTGAATATTGTGT